TTGGCGTCCTCATTGAGTTCGATTTTTACCTCGACCCTTCTAGGGGGGGGAAGCTGATCTGCCTCCTTTTCGTCAAACACATCTTCAAAGTCTCTATACTCAGGGGGAATTTCCTGCGCTCCGCCTGCCGTGCCTTCCTCCCCCCTGCAACACTCCCCCCTCTCTTCGCTCCGGAAGGTCATGCTGCCCTCCTTCCAATTGATCTGTGGGTTTGCTTCCTTCAACCACGGCATCCCCAATATTACATTGTAAGTAGCCATAGGGGATACCACGAAGGTTATGTTGCCTTCCCAGCTTCCCACTTTGCATCTCACCTCCCCTACTTCGAATCGCGCTGGGGCTCCGGCTGCTACTGAGCCATCCAGCTGCGAAAATGCTATGGGATTCTGCAAAGGGGTTTTCGTACAGTTCAGTTCGTCTGCTAATTCTGGGGTCATAATGTTTCTGGAGCAGCCGCAATCCATGAGGGCTTTGCAACTGGCCCATTTCCCCTCCCCTTCTAGCCTGATTGGGAACACCAGCATTCCTGGGTTGTGACTCACCAGATCTCCCACCGGGGCCCTACTAAGGGGGTTCTCTTCTGCTCTCTTCCCCGCGGCCGGTTTGAAATTTTGGAAATGAGGATCTCCCCCTCTCCTTTGTCGACATCCGGCCGCCCGATGGCCAAGGCGACCGCATACAAAACAGCCACCCCTCTGCTCCTTGGGTCCTCTGGCGGGGCCCTTCCCAATCGCGCTTCTCTCCGTCCTCCGACTCTCCTCCTTTGCTCTCGTCTGCTGCGGCGCCGCTCCTTGATGTCTCTTGATCTGGGCCAACGTGGTTTCGATGCGGCCAGCCAGCTCGATCCATCCGCCTATCTCCTCCGGATCGTCGCGATGAAGTGCCCAGGTCAGGATTTCCTTCCGCAGGCCCTCTTTGAATATCTGGACCTTAGTGGTGTTGGACCATTCCGGCACTTTTTCGGCCCTCAACCGGAACTCCTCTACATATTCGGACACGGAGCGATGGCCCTGTGTTATCGTTTGCAGCCTTTCCCTCGCCCGGACCCTCTCGAGCGGATCCCTGAAGCGCGCCTCCATCGCAGCCAGGAATCGCCTCGTAGAACCCAAACATGGGTCATGCCTGGCGTGGAGCTGGACATACCATTCCGCCGCTCCTCCTCTCAGCGCCGCACCCACCGCCCGCACTCGGCTTGCTTCCGATCCGAAGGTAAGGGCGTTATCCTCCAGATACCCTCTCACCATGGTCAGGAAGTACGCGAGGCTCCCGGCTTCTCCTCCGAATTCAATCCTTAGCTCCTCCCTCCTGGGTTGGTAAGCAAGGGGTTGCCTCTCCCGGCTCTCCGCTCGGGGTGGTCCTCCTGGGAGCCCGTGTCGCTCCGGTGGCAATTCACGTCGCCCTGTGCCACGCCCGGCCCCTGCCGGGGGCACCAGGGATGTCTGCTGGGACGTCGCCGCCAGTTCCCGTGGTTGCTCCTCCTCCTCGTCACTCTCCGCCACGGCTCTCCATTTCGCCTGCGTTTTGGATCGTGCCCCGGGTTCCCGGCCACTCCTCTCCCCCGCGCTCCACATCGAGTCTCCTCGGGGTGGTGGCTCCTCTAACAACGGGGCCAATCTCTCCATCACCCTCGACATCATCGCGAGGGTGGTTTCCATGGAAGCCAGTTTCTCCTCCAGATAGTCCAATCTCTGCGGGGAGGGAAAGTCTAGCCCACTGCTTTCTCGCGCTGCCGCCGCTGCCCCCTTCACTCGTCTCTGGGTGACTCTGTTGGGCTGGGCATATGCAGTCGATGAAGCCAATGCATTCACTCTCTCCAGCTCTTCTTCCGCATTCTCGAAAGGGGAGTCTGGTTCTCTCCCTCCCGTTGGATTCTCTGTCAGGTCCTCCTCTCCCTGCATGGGGGTGCCTCACCACAGCCGTGGGATGGCACTGGGAATCCTGGCTTAATGTAAGCTCCCAGCAGCCGCCCCAAGAATGACACAGGATGCCGATCCGTAATCAATCAGGAAACTTTTACTACTGGATATGCATACACAACGAAAGCCAGGATTGGCACACAGTCTCAAGTTAACTCTTATATACCCTCCCCCATATTCGAATCCCCTTTTCCCGCCGACCGTAGTTCCCGCTCAATGTTCCCCGCCAACCACCAACTGCTCCTCCCAAGGCCACCAGCTGCATACTCTTATCGGCTCTCCATGTCAGGATTCTGGTTTTTTGCGCCAATGTCCAAGGCCAGGAAACCGAGCCCTGACAAAATAGTTGCCCCCAAACCTCTACTCTCCCTTAAAATATATTTGCCTTTAAATGCAATAATAACAATAATAAATTGAGTAAAATAATGAAAGTAATAATACTAATAGAACAAAATAATAAATATAATAATAGAGTAAAAAAGAAATGTAATAATAATAGAATAAAATAATAAATGTAATAATAACTAGGGAAAATAATAAATGTAATAATGCATAGAATAAAATAATAAATGTAATAACAATAATAAATAGAGTAAAATAATAAATGTAATAATATTAATAGAACAACATAATAAATATAATAATAATAGAGTAAAATGTAATAATAATAGAATAAAATAATAAATGTAATAATAAATAGGGAAAATAATGTGTAATAATACATAGAATAAGATAATAAATGTAATAACAATAATAAATAGAGCAAAATAATAAATGTAATAAAATAACAACAGGGTAAAATAATAAACAACTTTGGCTCAAGTATAAGCTGAGAGAGGCTTTTTCAGCCTTAAAAAAGGGCTTATGCGGTAAATAATTTATTTTAATTTAATTTTATGTTACTTTATTTAGATAATGTTTACCCCAGTCTTCAGACACAAAGGTACTCAGAGCAGCTTACAAAATAACGACAATAACAACAGCAGCATAATAATAGTAGTAGTAGTAGTACAAGTAGCAGTAGTAATCAAAAAACATTTGGAAGTCCGCAGGTCCTGCAGCCCTGAGTGAATGGGACATATTAGATCGCAAACTGTGTGTGTTTTATGGAGCTGTAGACGTTCTTTCAGAAACTAGCACCTTCTCTATTCACCTGCTTGTTTGTTGTATGTTTCCCTTAACAGTCATTGAAGACCTGACGCACAAGACAGGGAATTTCAAGCAGTTTGGGATCTTCTGCAACATGCTGGAGTCTGCCCTGGCTCAGGTGGGGAAGAGAGAAAGATGCGTAGTTTACCCCCTGACCTCTCCCCTGAAGAATGGATGAGAAATACCTGGTTTCTCTTTCTCTCCACAGAGCAGCGAGTCAGTCACGCTGGACCTTCTTACCTACTCAGACCTGGAGTCGCTGAGAAATCGGAAAATTGGCGTGGGACCCCGACACTTGCCTGCCGCCAAGAGCTCTCCGCTCAGCTCCAAGCGTTACCTCATATTGATCTACTCAGTGGAATTTGACCGGTAAACTATTTTCGTCGTTTTTATCCGGAATGGACAGCTTAAGAGCTCCGTCACGGAACAAATTAAATGCTTAAGGCATCTCTGTATATGTTTTTCTTTGCCTCCAACAGAATCCACTACCCCCTCCCTTTGCCTTACGTGGGGAAGCCGGATCCGGTGGTCTTGCAGAAGGTGATCCGGGAGCTCAAGGAAGAGCTGGCCCTCCTGAAAGGAAAGCCGGGCAAGGACCTCCGGGATGCCGAGATCCGGCGGCTCCGGGAAGAGTGAGTCGGAGAGAGGGAGGCCGGTTGAATTGTTTTGGCACGGCGGGTATTTACTTTCCCGTAACACACGCCGTTGCGTTACTGTTAATGTCTATTGCTTATTTTTTGTTATGAGTTTTATGTTATTGCTTGTATTATTGTTGTTATTGTTTGTATTAATGATGTATTGTGGGCTCAACCTCATGTAAGCCACACCGAGTCCCTTGGGGAGATGGTAGCGGGGTATAAATAAAGTATTATTATTATTATTATTATTATTATTATTATTATTATTATTGGGGCGAGAGACCTTAGATCAGACATGGGCAAACTTGGGCCCTCCAGGTGTTTTGGACTTCCTCCATTCCTAACAGCCTCAGACCCTTTCCTTTTCCCCCTCAGCTGCCTAAGCCTACTCACTCTCCTCAGGACAACACTAGCTTTGGCCCGCTGACTCTTAACAGGTTTTGGCCTACTCACTCTCCTCAGGATGATACTATCTTTGGTCTGCTAACTCTATACAGGTTTCGGCCTACTCACTCTTCCATAGACGACACTAGCTTTGGCCCGCTGACTCTTAACAGGTTTCAGCCTACTCACTCTCATCAGGACAATACTAGCTTTGGTCTACTGACTCTTAACAGGTTTCGGCCTACTCACTCTCATCAGGACAATACTAGCTTTGGTCTACTGACTCTTAACAGGTTTCGGCCTACTCACTCTCATCAGGACAATACTAGCTTTGGTCTACTGACTCTTAACAGGTTTCGGCCTACTCACTCTCATCAGGACAATACTAGCTTTGGTCTACTGACTCTTAACAGGTTTCGGCCTACTCACTCTCATCAGGACAATACTAGCTTTGGTCTACTGACTCTTAACAGGTTTCAGCCTACTCACTCTCATCAGGACGACACTAGCTTTGCTCCGCTGACTCTTAACAGGTTTCGGCCTACTCACTCTCCTCAGGACAATACTAGCTTTGGTCTACTGACTCTTAACAGGTTTCGGCCTACTCACTCTCATCAGGACGACACTAGCTTTGGCCCGCTGATTCTAACAGGCTTTGGCCTACTCATTCTCCTCAGGACAACACTAGCTTTGGCCCACTAACTCTAATATGTTTCGGCCTACTCACTCTCCTCAGGACAACGCTAGCTTTGGCCCACTGACTCTAACAGGCTTTGGCCTACTCACTCTCTTCATGACAACACTAAACTTTGGCCCACTGACTAACAGGCTTCGGCCTATTCACTCTCCTCAGGACAACACTAGCTTTGGTCTGCTGATTCTTAACAGACTTCGGCCTTCTCGCTCTCCTCAGGACGACACCAGCTTTGGCCCGCTGACTCTTAACAGGTTTTGGCCTACTCTCTCCCCTCAGGATGACACTAGCTTTGGCGCGCTGATTCTAACAGGCTTCGGCCTACTCACTCTCCTCAGGACGACACTAGCTTTGGCCCGCTGACTCTTAACAGGCTTCGGCCTTCTCACTCTCCTCAGGACAACACTAGCTTTGGTCTGCTGATTCTTAACAGGCTTCGGCCTACTCACTCTCCTCAGGACAACACTAGCTTTGGCCCACTGACTCTTAACGGGCTTTGTCCTACTCACTCTCCTCAGGACAATGCTAGCTTTGGCCCACTTATTTGTAACAGGTTTCGGCCTACTTACTCTCCTCAGGACAACACTAGCTTTAGCCCACTGACTGTAACAGGCTTCGGCCTACTCACTCTCCTCAGGACAACACTAGCTTTGGCCCACTGACTCTAACAGGCTTCGGCCTACTCCCTCTCTTCACAAGGGCACTAGCTTTGCTCCGCTGACTCTAATAGTTGGCCTACTCACTCTCCTCAGGATGACGCTAGCTTTGGCCCACTTACTCTAACAGGCTTTGGCCTACTCACGCTCCTCAGGACAACGCTAGCTTTGGTCTGCTGATTCTTAACAGGCTTCGGCCTACTCACTCTCCTCACAACGACAATAGATTTGACCCACTGACTCTAACAGGTTTCGGCCTATTCTCCTCAGGATCACATTAGCTTTGCCCCGCTGACTCTTAACAGGCTTCAGCCTACTCACTCTCCTCAGGACGACGCTAGCTTTGGCCCACTGACTCTAATAGGCTTTGGCCTACTCATTCCCCTCAGGACGACACTAGCTTTGGCCCACTGACTCTAATAGGCTTTGGCCTACTCATTCCCCTCAGGACGACACTAGCTTTGGCCCACTGACTCTAACAGGCTTCGGCTTACTCATTCTCCTCAGGACGGCACTAGCTTTGGCCCTCTAACTCTAACAGGCTTAGGCCTACCCACTCTCTTCAGTACGATACTAGATTTGACCTGCTGACTCTCCTCAGGACAATACTAGCTTTGGCCTGCTGACTCTCCTCAGGATGACACTAGCTTTGGCCCGCTGATTCTAACAGGCTTTGGCCTACTCACTCTCCTCAGGACGACACTAGCTTTGGCCCACTAACTCTTAACAGGCTTCGGCTTACTCACTCTCCTCAGGACAACACTAGCTTTGGCCCACTGACTCTTAACAGGCTTCGGCCTACTCACTCTCCTCAGGAAAAGGAAAGGGCCCGAGGCTGTTAGGAATGGTGGTAGTTGGAGTCCAAAACACTAGAAGGGGCCAAGTTTGCCCATGCCTCTATGGCAGCGGTTGGGAACCTTTGGCTCTCCAGGTGTGGTGGACTTCAACTCCCACAATGCCTTGAGGCTCGGCACTAGCGGGCGGGGCCGAAGCGGCGAGGAGGCGCGTTGCCCGCAGGGGTTTCCGCCCGCTCTCTCCCTCCGAGGCCAGCCTTTGCTGCCCGTCCTCCATGAAAAAGAGGCTTTTTTCATGGAGGACGGGCAGCAAAGGCTGGCCTCGGAGGGAGAGAGCGGGCGGAAACCCCTGCGGGCAACGCGCCTCCTCGCCGCTTCGGCCCCGCCCGCTAGTGCCGAGTCTCAAGGCATTGTGGGAGTTGAAGTCCACCACACCTGGAGAGCCAAAGGTTCCCGACCGCTGCTCTATGGCGTAATCTTATTGTTTTCCATTTCCAGGCTGCAGAATGCCCTGGAGGAGAAGCAGGCCGCGGAGACAGCCCTTTTGGGCCTAAGGGAAGAGCTGGCGCTTGTCAACAAAAACGGCGTCCTCAAAGAAGTGAAGATCCTCAAGAAGGTGGTGCAGAGCCTGGAGGAGGAGCTGACCAAAGAGAGGGCCAAGCACCAGCGGGCTGCCAACAAGCGCCTGCAGGAGAGCCAGCACCTCGCGGAAGAGGTGAGACAAGCACTTTAGGATCCCTTGCTTCCTGTCTTGGGAAAGAGATGCAAGGGAGGCATGCCAAAATTTAGCCTAAAATTTAAATCGGAGGGGCTGACTGTTAGGAATTGTCAGATCTAAAGTCCAATACACCTGGAGGGCCAAAGTTTGCCCATACCTGCTTTAATACCGTATATACTCGAGTATAAGCCGACCCGAATATAAGCCGAGGCACCTAATTTTACAACAAAAAAGCTGGGAAAACTTATTGACTCGAGTATAAGCCGAAGGTGGGAAATGCAGCAGTTACTGGTAAATTTCAAAATAAAAATAGATATCAATAAAATTACATTAATTGACTCATCAGTAGGTTAAATGTTTTTGAATATTTACATAAAACTGTAATTTAAGATAAGACTTTCCAACTCTGATTATTCTAATCTTCAGTTTGAGGCATCAGTAGGTTAAATGTTTTTGAATATTTACATAAAACTGTAATTTAAGATAAAACTGTCCAGCTCTGATTAAATCATTATTCTAATCTTCTTCAGTGTAAATGTGCTTATGTATCCCTCCAATAATAATAAAGACAGAATAATAATAATAATAATAATAATGAAATCCAGCATATATACCTAATTTGCTGTGTCATACTGTGTTTTTGTGTCAGAATAATAATAATAATAATAATAATAGAGTAAAATAATGAAAATGTAATAACAGTAATAACAGAGTAAAATTATAAATGCAGTAACAATAAAAATAAAGTAAAATAATAAATGTAATAATAATACTAATAATAAATAGAGTAAAATAATAAATGTAATAAAATAATACTGTAGAGTAAAATAATGTAAATATAGTAATAATAATTCATATATTAAACCAATTCATGTAATAAAATGATACTAATAACAAAGTAAAGCCTGAGGGCTGAGAAAAGCGGTATATAAATAAAGTAAATAAAGTAAATAAATAATAAATAACCTTGACTCAAGTATAAGCCGAGGGGAACTTTTTCAGCCTAAAAAGGGGGCTGAAAAACTAGGCTTATACTTGAGTATATACAGTATCTTCTGCCCTTTCCAGCTGGCGGAGATGAAAGCGACAGAGAGGAGCCTCCGGATTCGCGTGAAGAACCTGACCAATGAGTTGGCTTTATACCGGAAAGGGTGAGCATTCTGGTCCAATAGTTTGTCCTTATGGGCTGTTTCCTCGCGAGTCTTGGAGTTTGTTGAGCGAGTGGGCTTATTAACAAAAGATCCTCCCCATGAATGTATAGCAGAGTAACTTATTAGCAGCAACGTGACCCAGCACCAGTAGCCCAAAGTGAGAAAAAGAACAGAAACACACATAGGAGGCTTTTCTTTGTAGTAAAATAATATGGTAGTACTATTTACAACAACAAGGTTTCTCTTGTAGTTCGCCCTGAGATTGTGTCTGATGTTCACAATGGGAATGGGGATGAAGGGTTTTCTGGGCCTAGGTCTGTTTTCCATGGGGATGAAGGTTTGCCTAGGCCTGATTTAAGCCCAGACGAGAGGCCCGAGGTGTCTCATGAAGATTCACAAGGTCACATTCCTGGGAGAGGCCCTCAACAGTCTTTCTCTGAGAAACTGTCTTCTGAAGATGAATGGTCAGGTGCAGAATTTAATGAGAGTGAAGATAGAAAGCAAGTATTTTGTAAACAGAGGCAAAGTTCTCAGGTGCGACAGGTCAATTTGTCTGCAGGAAAAGAGATATAAGAAATCTTTATCTGGTTGTAAAGGCAAGAGAAATGCTTTCCTTTCAGTTCTGGGGTCAGGAAAAGCTTTATATTGATACATGGGATAGAATTGCCTCAGTCTTGTTAATGTTGGAATTTAATGATGGTCTTGTTTCCAAGTGTTCCTAGTTTCATGTACCAAGTTTTGCCAGGCTCTTGATCTGTGAGTTGGATTTACATGCTGCTTTGTTCTGTGGATTTTATAATTTTGAATCTTGTGTTTTGCCTTGTGCTTTGAGGCTCATGGACTACTCTTTATTTTGGGACTTACTGTTTTCATTTTTATAGCTTTGCCTACATTTATTCCTCAATAAACTGCTTGCTGTTTTTACCAAGCTGGTGTGGTATTTAAAGTCAGAGGAGTTCCTGCTCTGGAGTGCAACGGTTTCCATATGTTGTGACCCAGCTGGAACCACAGAGTGCCTCTGATGAGGATGATGGGATTCAGGTTGACAATCTGGTTCAAAATGTCCCTGTTATAGTCAATGAGGAACAGGGTGTGGAAGTTCGGTTTCCCACAGCAAGAAATGAGTTTGTTGATACTGAAACTAGCCAGGTGCAGGTGCAAATTGACTCAGAAAAGAAGGACAGTTCTCAGCTTGATAATGAGCAGGAAGGCAACTGGATAACACTAACGAACAGACTGACCTTGATGAAACGGGAACCTTAGATCGTGCTGACCGGTTGGAATTTAGAGTTCGAAAGGAGTGTGAGAATAGCTAACAAGAAGGAGGTCAGAGGCCAAAGAAACGCCTTCATGCTTTGCAAAGGATATTAAGCAGTGTGTTTGGAACCAAACCTTTTCAGAGCAACTTTTCGTTGCTCTGAAGCTTACATTTTGCTTGTCTGGATTATCTTGCAGTTCTTGTGTTCATGGTCTCAGGACTCAGTCATGTTCTCATGGGATTTTGCTTTGCTGGATCATGCTTCAAAGTGTTGTTTTGTATTGATGTTTTAAAACATTACTTTTGCTTTTAAGAACTTTTTATCTTTTACTTTTTAATAAACTATAAAGACTCTTGGCTGTTTACAGTTTGGTGTTTTCAGCAAGGTGAACCTACTCTGAGGTGCGACACCATAACACAAATAAACAAATACACAGTCGCTTTACACACAGCAGTCTTCATACTGGAGCTTTCTCACACGAAGCTTCTCTCACACAGAGGTTAACCTCAATAAACTGCTTGCTGTTTTTACCAAGCTGGTGTGGTGTTTAAGGTCAGAGGTGTTCCTGCTCTGGAGTGCAATGGTTTCCATAACACAAATAAACAAATACATAGTAGCTTTACACACAGCAGTCTTCATACTGGAGCTTTCTCACACGAATCTTCTCTCACACAGAGGTTTACCTCACACTCCTTGGGACGACACTAGCTTTGGCCTGCTGAGCCTAACAGGCTTTGGCCTACTAACTCTTTCAGTGCTTGACTCACAGGTTTGTAATCAAAAATACCCAGTTAATTCTAGATATTTCTGACAGAGTTCTTCTTGCCTCCCTTCAAGTCCTCTGCTTCCCTCCTCAGGCGCTTCACGCCGAGTGGACCTTCACCCCAAAACCACTCATCAGCATCCTCCCGCCATTTTACCCAGCCAGCCATCCTGACCCGAGACAGTGCCAAGAAAAGGGATGACCGCCGCTGCAGCTCAAGGGAACAATCGGCCTCACGGGAGCGTAGCGGGGCCTGGGGTCCCGGCCAGCAACGGTCCACATCCAGGGAAGGGCGCAGCAGCGGGAGCCAAGGCCGGGCCCCGCGACAGTCTCCTTCTCCCACAGGTGAGGCCACAGGTGTCGTTTGTTGGGTGAGTAGGCTTATTAACAAAAGATCCTTCTCATAAATGCACAGCAGAGTAACTTAACAACAGCAGCGTGGCCCATCACCAGTAGCCCAAAGTGATAAAAAGAACAAAAAACACACCGACCAATGTTATTTTATTTATTTATTTATTTATTATTCAAACTTATATGCCACCACTCCCCTGGAGCTCGGAGCGGCTTACAAGAACAGGCTAAAATCGTAACACAATTTAAAAACAATTTAAAACAATTTAAAAACAGCAATATCAAGGATCAAAGGCATGTCGAAACAGGTATGTCTTACATGCCCTGCGGAAAGCTGATAAGTCCCGCAAGACACGGACTTCAGGTGGCAGAGTGTTCCAGAGTGATGGTGCCACTGCTGTAAAGGCTCAGCGTCTGGTTGCTGTTAGACGCAAGGTCTTGACAGTTGGAATTTCCAATAAATCTTGGTCCTCAGAACAGAGGGATCTCTGGGGTTGGTAGGGGGTGAGGCGGTCCCTCAGGTACATCGGCCCCAGACCGTGCAAGGCCTTAAAGGTGAGTACCATCACTTTGAAAGTGATCTGGTGCTCAGTTGGTAACCAATGCAGCTGTAGTAAGATTGGTGTTATGTAGCATCTCATCGGAATTCCCGCAAGAAGCCGAGCAGCTGCATTTTGTACCAACTTGAGCTTCCGGATCACCGACAGAGGAAGGCCAATGTAGAGGGCGTTACAGTAGTCCAGTCTTGAGATGACCGTAGCCTGGATGACCGTAGCTAGGTCGTCCCTGGACAGGTAGGGGGCCAGCCGTCTAGCCTGCCGCAGATGAAAAAATGGCGGTTCTGCTCACGTCGGAGACCTGGGCCTCCATCGTCAGCAGAGGGTCCAAAAGGACTCCCAGACTCTTTACCAATGATGACGGGTGTAGCGCCTCGCCATCAAGGGTAGGCAGTTGGATATCCCCACTGCCCGGTTGACCCAGCCATAGGATCTCCGTCTTTGCTGGATTCACCTTCAACCTGCTGGCACGCAGTCATCCAGTAACGGCCTCGAGGCACTGATGGAAACAATCGGGTACAGAGTCCGGTCTGCCCTCACTCTCTCACACTGAGGTGAACTTAACACTGAGGTCTTCTCACACCGAGAGCTCTCTCAGATTCATGTCTCTCCCACACTGAGGTGAACTTAACACTGAGGTCTTCTCACACCGAGAGCTCTCTCAGACTCATGCCTCTCTCACACTGAGGTGAACTTAACACTGAGACCTTCTCACACCGAGGTATCTCTCAGACTCATTCCTCTCTCACACTGAGGTGAACTTAACACTGAGGTCTTCTCATACTGAGGCTTTCTGTGTAAATGCCATATACAGATTTTCATTTTTATTACGTGTATAGATTTCATGATCTGAACACTCAATACCTCCAAATGAAAGGAAGGGTTGCTCAGACCTTACGTTGAGCTTATAGTAAGTTTGCTTCCTATTTGTCAGTGATTTGTGCTTGATTTGTATTTCAAGGTCGTAGTTGATAATGCCCAAAACCATTTTACACTAAATTCCCCTGAATCTGAGATGGAAATGTTCCTGAAAAGGTCGCAGTAACTTGTTCTCCAACCCTCTCAAGGTGTCTGTTTTGATTCTGTCCTTCTCTTTTCCATCTCGTAGGCCCCCGGGCTCCTCGGTTTGATCCCACTGCCTTCGTGAAAGCTAAGGAACGCAAGCAGAAGGAGGCCGAACTGAAAAAGTGAGTAGATTCTTCCCCCAAATGTGCTCCGCTCCTTCTTGTCTGTTGTCTGTGTTCACTGCTCAAGTCAGAATGTTTATTTCTTTACTTCTGTACAGGAAGGTTAGGGCCTAGCTATTTAACTGTTTAGCTCAGGAGTGGGCAAACTTGGGCCCTCCAGGTGTTTTGGACTTCAACTTGAAATCGGTACAGCTGAGGGCTGGTCAGCTATGGAACTCCCTTCCTAATGAAATCAGGTCAGCCCCCTTCCTCGGGTCCTTTAGAAGGATGATAAAAACGTGGCTGTGGGACCGACACTTTGGGAATGTGTAATGAGGCGGCAATAGGAACTCTTAGTATGCCAACCAAATTCGATAGGGTTGTTGAGACAGTTTTAACTAGAGGATTTTAACGTCAAGATAAGTGATTTTAATGTTTTTAATGTGTACGGTCTAGTTTGTTTCAGCATTGAATGTTTGCTGTTTATAAATGCTTTAAATAAATAAAACAAATAAATCTCTAATGAGTTGTTTGAGGGCATTTTGGGGCTGACTCTCCTGTCTCCGCTTTCAGCAAGCGAAACTTGAGGCGAGGGATAGGAGACACCCCGCCAAGCGGATGGCACCATCGAACTGGGTTGACTTTCAACAACAGCGGCCTCGGAAAAACCCGGGGCAGGAGCTCCTCCGGTGGGTCTGGTTCAGGTTTTCATTGCGGAAAAATAGAATCTACTTCACATCATGATGGGTTTTGTATATGTGTGTGTGAGAGTGTGAGGAGCAACTTGAGAGACTGCAAGTAGCTTCTGGCGTGAGAGAATTGGCTGTCTGCAAGGACTTTGCCTAGGGGACGCCCAGATGTTTGATAGGCTTGGGCAATCCATGGTTCTAAATGGTTCTAAAGTACTTACAAAACTAAAGTTCTGGTGGTGAAAATTTCAGAACTCTAACAAAACTTTCAAAATGTAATTATTATTTCATTATGGGTGATTTTAATGATAGAACCAATTAGGAACTGCCATTTATTATGAAATTTTGAGAGTTTTGTTAGAGTTCTGAAATTTTCATCACCAGAACTTTAGTTTTGTAAGTACTTTAGAACCATTTAGAACCATGGATTGCCCAAGCCTAATGTTTGATTTTTTACCATCCTTGTGGCAGGCTTCTCTCATGTCCCCGCATGGGAGCTGGAGCTGACAGAGGGGGCTCAACCCACTCCCTCCAAATTCGAACCGCTGACCTATCAGTCAGCACTCCTGCTGGCACATTGCACCACTGGGGGCACATGATGGTGTTTTGCTATGATTTGTAGCATGAATCTCACCAAATATCATACTGTGAAAAAAAAGCGAACTACAGTAGAGTCTCGCTTATCTTACCTTCGCTTATCCAACATTCTGTATTATCCAACGCAGTCCAGGGTGAGAAAATGAAAGAACCCTTGTCTGTTTTGGTGCTAAATCCGTCAATATAGTAATCTGTATAAATAAAAATGTAATGTTCGTTTGTGGGATTAACATAACTCAAAAACCACTGGATGAATTGCCACCATATTTAGCCGCAAGACACTTACTAACCCAAGAAGTGATTTGTATTGTATTGGTTTTACTGTAAGCCACTTTGAGTCTCTCTTTTTTAGAGTTCTGAATGCTCTTTGATTGTGGGTGAACTATAAATCCCAGCAACTACAACTCCCAAATGACAAAATCATCTCCCGCAAATACTAATACGCAGTATTTGAATTTGGGCATATCATATATTTGTGCCAAATTTGGTCTAGTGAATGAAAATCCATCCTGCGTATTAGATATTTACATTACGATTGATAACAGTAGCAAAATTACCGTTATGAAGTAGCAACGAAAATAATGTTATGGTTGGGGGTCACCACAACATGAGGAACTGTGTTAAGGGGTCACAGCGTTAGGAAGGTTGAGAAACACTGCTATAAAGCATCAAACATAAACAACCTAAAACATAGAACATTGGACAATGCATCAATCCTGAAGTTATCATGTAATAATAATAATAATAATAATAATAATAATAACTTTATTTATACGCCGCTACCATCTCCCCAAGGGACTCAGTGTGGCTTACATGAGGCCGAGCCCACAATACATCAATAATAAAAACAATAACAATTAATACAAAACAATAAAAATGAAACTCATAACAAAAGATAAGCAATAAACATTAATGGTAACACAACGACGTTTAAAAATCTATGGCTGGGCCAAATGTAATAATTAAAATTTTAAAATTATGCTGAGCATGAACAGGTGAAATATGACTAGGATAGAGTTTTCAGAGAGGGATGGGTGTGCAGACACTCTTAAATCAATAATAAATATTATTTATTTATTTATTATTTATTTATTTACTTTGCTTATATACCGCTGTATCTCAAGCCCGAAGGCGACTCACAGCGGTTCACAAACAGTAGAAACAGTAGAAACAGCAGTGGTTCCATACAACATATAACAATTGACTTAACACATTATCCATAAATTACCAATAAGCAATTACAATGCACAATTATTATGAAAAACAACTGTACCCAATCTTCTCATCATCCAAGCGTAGTCCAGGTTCGTCGTCCATTGTTCCATTCCTATGTTCCATTTCCAGATTGTACTAAATTACTCAAACGCCTGCACAAACATCCAGGTCTTCACCTTTTTGCGGAATACCATTAGAGATGGTGCTAGTCTAATGTCCGTAGGAAGGGCGTTCCACAGCCGAGGAGCCACCACCGAGAAGGCCCTATCTCTCGTCCCCGCCAGCCGAGCTTGAGAAGCAGGCGGGATCGAGAGCAGGTTCTCCCCGGAAGATCTCAAAGTCCTGGTGGGTTCATAGGCAGAGATGCGGTCAGATAGGTAGCTTGGGCCGGAACCGTTTAGGGCTTTAAAGGCCAACGCCAGCATTTTGAATTCAGCCCGGTAGCAGATCGGTAGCCAGTGGAGTTGGCGCAACAGGGGGGTTGTATGTGGAGTTGGCGCAACAGGGGGGTTGTATGCTCCCTAATTACAATATGTAACAAAATTTGAAAAAAATATCTGTTCTTGGTTCGAAAGTGTTATTTCCTATTTAATTGTGCGATCCTTACTTTGGAAGTAGTGGCTGTACTCCAGAAACGTTGTTTTTGTGGCTGCCACTAACTGTGTCGGATTAGTTGAGACTCTATGAGAGATTCATTGAAAAACTAGAGCAAAATGTGCAACAGGATGTCCCTCCTGCAAGAACAACAGTTTTTGCAGTTTCATAAGCTTTTCCCCATGTTTTTATGATGGAACCAATTAGGAAATGACATTTATAAACCAGGAACAAAAACTGAGTTACGTAGCGTAATTATAGAAAAAGTTTTCCCAGGGCATTATGATGATGATGTTTATTTGTACTCCGCTTTTTCTTTCTTTGTACAAAAGAGACTGACTTTGGACAATTCTCTTCTCTTGCAGTGGAAAGCTTCCGCAGCAGGCGATCCTCTGCAAGCTCCGGGAGTGAGATGGACGAATATTCAGAACCTGTTGCAACAAGGCGAGAGAGGTAGGCTCTGGTGTTATCATTTGTATCCCGTGGCTTCCCTGTGTAGTGGCTTCCCTGTGTAGTCTGATATGGTGGTTGTTAGAGCTATTAAACCAGGCATGGGCAAACTTTGTCCCTCCAGGTGTTTTGGACTTCAACTCCCACAATGCCTAGGCTGTTAGGAATTGTGGGAGTGTATTTATTTATTTATTTATTTATTTATTTATTTATTTATTTATTTTGCAGTATTTATATTCTGCTCTTCTCACCCAGGGGACTTAGGGCAGATCACAATGCACATATACATGTGACCCACTCACTGTTCTATTTTATGTTACGAAGAATTTTATTGTGATTTTATTTTTGTTTACTGTGTTCTTACATTTTATGTTTTATGTAATTTATCATGTTGTTAGGTTCCTGTAAGTTTTTTCGGGCTATATGGCCATGTTCTAGAGCAGTGGTTCTCAACCTTCCTAATGCCGTGACCCCTTAATACAGTCCCTCATGTTGTGTTGACCCCCAACCATAACATTGTTTTCGTTGCTACTTCATAACAGTCATTTTACTACTGTTATAAATCATAATGTAAATATCTGATATGAAGGATGCATTTTCATTCACTGGACCAAAGTGGGCACAAATACCCAGTACACCCAAATGTGAATGCTAGTGGCGTTGGGGGAGGATTGATTTTGTAATTTGGGAGTTGTAGTTGCTGGGATTTATAGTTCACTTATAATCAAAGAGCATTCTGAACTCCACCAGCGATGGATTTGAACCAAACTTGGCTCCCATGACGAATGGAAAGCACTGGAAGGGTTTGATGGGCATTGACCTTGAGTTTGGGAGCTGTAGTTCACCTATATCCAGAGAGCACTGTGGACTCATGCAATGGTAGATCTGGACCACAAATACTCAATATGCTCAAATGCGAACACTGGTGGAGTCTGGGGGAAAATAGATCTTGACATTTGGGAGTTGTAGTTGCTGTCTTTCTGGCTGCGAAGGTCGACAGCAAGCTAAACAAATGGTCGGGAGCTTACTCTGACTTGGGCTGGCTTTGAACTCATGACCTTTCGGTCAGTAGTGATTTAATGCAGCTGACTCCTCGCCAACTGCGCCACAACCTGGTCCTGTTGAAGTCCAAAACCCATGGAGGGATGCTCATGCCTGATTAGAGTATCCCCATAGAGTTGGGCAGCAAGACCAGGGGTATTTACCTTTGGTTAAGATGGAAGCATTTGTTGTGCCACTTCAGCGCTCCAGTGATCTACTCTGATTTTCTGTGTATTTCTCCTTCAGGGGCCGGAAGCGAGTGGCAAGGGGCAGGAAGCCCTTGAGCACCTCATCATGGAATGGCCCCACAGTGGTAAGCGACCCACAGGGGGTTTTTCCTCCAGAAGAGTCATTATCCCATGATACTCCCAGCCTGGAGGTGTCAATGGGGAGCTCTGTCCCACAGAGGAACCATGAGGGCATCTAGAAGGTCCATACTATTGTTTCCCATCGTGGTCAATTGTGAATACGCACATATGGTAGTTTCTGCGCCTGAGCAGACAGCTTCGGAACCTTCTAAATAGATTTGAAAAACTTTGGCAGGTGGCCCCGCCCACTCTCCCCTTGCTAGTATAAGTAGCAGGTGGGCGGGGCTACTGTCTCAGTTCCTTTCATCCGCCGCTCTGTCAGCAGCTGAGAACCTTTGTTTGTGTGACTAGCTTTGCCAAATACAGTCCCACAGAGGAACCATGAGAGCATCTAGAAGGTCCATACAATTGATGTGGTGGGTCACCAGGAGCCCTCACAGTCAGTGGCTTTAGAGGTGGCAATATAATAATAACAGTAACAATAACAACAATAATATTTATTTCCCGCCTCTCTTTACAACTCGCATAGTTCAGCAGGATTCAACAGGGTGCTAAAACACAACCCTGTTAAAATACGTGTAATAAAATACACATAAAATCACACTAATAAACAGTAGGTTAACATTATTATTATTATTATTATTATTATTAGGTTCTTGTGGGTTTTTTCGGACTATAGAACTATGTTCTAGAGGCATTTCTCCTGACGTTTCGCCTGCATCTATGGCAAGCATCCTCAGAGGTAGTGAGGTCTGTTGGAATTAGGACAATGGGTTTATATATCTGTGGAATGGCTGGGGTGGGGCAAAGAGCTCTTCTCTGCTGGAGCTAGGTGTGAATGTTTCAACTGACCGCCTTTATTAGCATTTGAAAGCCTGCCTGAGCCTGGGAAAATCTCTTGCTGAAAGGTGTTAAGATGTGCCTGGTTGTTTCCTCTCTGTTGTTTTGCTGTTGTAATTTTAGAGTTTTTAATACTGGTAGCCAGATTTTGTTCATTTTCATGGTTTCCTCCTTTCTGTTGAAATTGTCCACATGCTTGTGGATTTCAATGGCTTCTCTGTGTAGTCTGACATGGTGGTTGTTGGAGTGGTCCAGCATTTCTGTGTTCTCAAATAATATGCTGTGTCCAGGCTGGTTCATCAGGTGCTCTGCTATGGCTGACTTCTCTGGTTGAAGGAATCTGCAGTGCCTTTCATGTTCCTTGACCCGTGTTTGGGCAAGGCTTCTGCGTTTGGTGGTCCCCATATAGACTGTCCACAGCTGCATGATACCACAGCCATTCCACAGATATATAAACCCATTTTCCAAACTCCAACAGACCTCATTACCTCTGAGGATGCTTGCCATAGATGCAGGCGAAACGTCAGGAGAAATGCCTCTAGAACATGGCCATATAGCCCGAAAAAACCCACAAGAACCTAGTGATTCCAGCCATGAAAGCCTTCGACAATACATTATTACTACTACTACTACTACTACTACTACTACTACTATTGCCTTCCTCTCCTTGTGGTAATTATTCAGGGTTAATACAGAACAATAAAAGACAACGCTGTTAAAATACTTATAACAAGATGCACACAAGACCATGCCAAAAAAATGTAGCTTAAAATAATAATAATAATAATAATAATAATAATAATAATAATAATAATAATAATAATAATGGGCTGCTGTGAGTTTTCCAGGCTGTATGGCCATGTTCCAAAGTATTCTCTCCTGACATTTCGCCCACATCTATGGCAGGCATCCTCAGAGGTTGTGAGGTCTGTTGGAAACTAAGCAAGGGAGGTTTTTATATCTGTGGAAGGTCCCAAGTGGGAGAAAGAATTCTTGTCTGATTCCCTCAGCAGGAATCAGCCAGGCCTTGAAGCTGCAAGGCTTTTCAATGCTAATTAAGGAGATTAATTACAGCATTCACACTTGCCTCCATCAGACAAGAGTTCTTTCTCCCACCCTGGGAGATACACACAAGACCACACCAATAAAATGTAAGTTAAATAATAATAATAATAATAATAAGAAGAAGAAGAAACAAAAAATCAGGAGGCAGAAAGAGGGCTTCTGCAAGTGAAAGAAATGGTAGAAGAAGAGAAACATGATGTGAAAGGCAGTCAAGAACCAACATTGAGGCAAGTCAATAGCGGAAAACTGCTTCAAGTGCAAAAGACAAAGAGGGAATACCGTAAAGACACAATCCAGAACAGGAGAGAAAATTAGCAAAAGAAGGCTCCCTATGGACAGTTCCTGGGAAAAATAGAGAGCAAAATTGACAAAGAAAAAATATGGCTGTGGCTCACAAATGGAACTTGGAGAAAGGAGATGGAGGGCCTGATTCTGGCAGCCCCAAGAACAAGCCATTAGAACAAATGCCATCCAAGCCAGAATTGAAAAGTCGACGACAGATCCCAAGTGTAGACTCTGCAAGGAAGAAGGCGAAATAATGGATCCCATCCTCAGCTGCTGCAAGAAGATCGTGCAGACAGACAACAAGCAGAGGCATAACACCGTTGCTCAGATGATTCATTGGAACTTGTGCCACAAACACCATCTGCCTGCGACAAAGAACTGGTGGGATCACAAGCCGGAAAAAGTTACAGAAAATATACATGTCAAATTCCTCTGGGACTTCTGGATTCAGACAGACAGAGTTTTGCAGCACAATACTCCTGATCTCACGATTGTGTTAAAAAACAAAGTATGGATTGTCGATGTTGCAATCCCAGGTGACAACTGGATTGCAGAGAAACAACTGGAAAAGCTGACACCATACGAGGATTTAAAGATAAACTGCAAAGACTCTGGCACAAGCCAGTCAAGGTGGTCCCAGTGGTGATGGGCACACTGGGTGCAGTGCCTAAAGACCTTGGCCTACACTTAAACACAATCAGTGCTGAAATAATTACCATCTGCCAGCTGCAGAAGGCCACCTTACTGGGATCTGCATGCATTATTCGCCGATACATCACACGGTTCTAGACACTTGGGAAGTGTCTGATGTGTGATCCAATACAACAGCCAGCAGAGTGTCTGCTGTGGACTCATCTTGTGGTGTTTCAAATTATTATTATTATTATTATTATTATTATTATTATTATTATTATTATTATTATTTGAAACACCACAAGATGAGTGTGGTGTTTCAAATTATAATACTAATAATAATTCTGTTAAAATACTTATAAGAATATTCACACAAGACCACACCAATTAAATGTGGTTAATAATAATTAAAATAATAATACAATATAGGTAAATATCTTTACATCTCCTCATTCCTGATACAGGTCTCCCGGACAGACGGTGGTCACCGGAAACACTTGGAAAGCACTCCCACCCCAGGCAAGCGAGCAGACAAAGGTGAGGTCTTTGGAGTCTCAACTATGGGAAGAGATGGTGAGATCAGAATGAAATGGGATTCAGAGGGGTACCCATAACACTCAAACAATCAGGAGATCCAAACTGCAGATCCTAAACCAATGCCAAACATGAAACTGGCATCAACAAGTCTAGAAGAATCTTTTCCAATACACAGCACCCAACCTACGAACGCTCATCAACACCTTGCCTTCTGCAAGGATCCATAACCCCTGAACCCACTTTTTTTACAAATCATCATCAGAAGATGAACTGACCACCGCCCCATCATTATCCCCCGCAGCTGCTCCCAGCTCTTCATGTGCATTCCCTTGTCCTTCCCTCCAATTCCTCCATCTCCTGTCAAGACTTAGGTCCCCCCAAGACTCAATTGGATCCCCTGATTGCCAGTCTTCACCCCCAGAGAACCCCATAAAGGCATCACTAGTTGCTGGCTCCTCACACATAGCTTGCACTTCTCTTATCTTAGTCCAATCCATGGTGTCTCCTTCTTCCCCTTCACTCATTGACCCATCATCCCCAGAGAATCCCTCAAACGACTCCTCATCTGTAGGTGCTGTAAATGTGTCCCGGATCCTCTTTCTCTGCTGCTCATCATCACATTCCTGCTCCCGAGTAACCCTTTTCCCCCTTCTGGCACCCATACTACTGTTTGTAACATTACTCACAGGCTCTACTACAACAGTATGTGCTGGTGTTGATACTTGGAAACCGCCCTGAGTCCCTTTGGGAAGATAGAGCAGTATATAAATAAAGTTTTATTATTATTATATGCCTGTCTCTTCGCTGGGGTTAACATCCCGTTTCCTTGTCCCGACAGAGAATCTGTATGACGACGAGCCATCCGCAGACCTCTCTGAGATTGATGCTCGCCTGCAAGCGCTGCAGGAGTATATGAACAAACTCGAGACGAGAACGTAGTCCCTTCAGCGGACAAAGCCAGGGAGCAGGGGATATGGCTTGGCAATGAATAATATAATAATTATCTCCCATGAAGGATGTTGACATCACTGTTTGCAAGCTCAAACATGGCAAAATACAGAAGATGCAGCTTGCAAAATACCTGCCGTTTGGGAACTTCCTTCTGTTGTTTATTCCGGGAGATGAACCCAAAAGGAGTTGGGAGGGGGGTCATAGCCAGACAAAAACTATGATTTTTTTAGGCTTGAAGTCAGGGTATGGTATGTAGCTTTTGACTCTGTAAATCCTAGAATTCTCTGGTCTGAATTGAGAGGATTCTGGGAATTATAGTCCACTATTAAGCTCTGCAGAGGAAGCAACTTTTGTCGGTCCCTCGCCTAACAATTCGATGCAGTCTCTTCCAAAACATTCCTCTCGGCTTCTCTTTCCGGAAAGGATTGCCTCGTCTTCCCATCTTTCTGTGTGACCCCACTTTTTGCTATATAATCCTGTGTTGCGGTGAATCTTTTTCTACAAATAAACCTTATTTTTTTCCCCTTTCAACCCTGTGGTCTGCGTTCGATCGAGTTGAGTTTCCAAAGCATTGAAGAAAGTAGTTTTCTCTGGTTGACTGCACTGACAGCTGGAGGCTCCAGATAGCTATTGTGCCTAATGGCCTTGGACAGATGCATGCGCCCATCCCGTCCAGATATCTCTCTTTTCCAACTCTGAGCTCACCTTTCTTGCCCTCAGCCTTCTGCCCTCATTTCGGCAAATTAATTATGCATTTGGAGGGGATTAAAGGGGAAGAATACATTTCTCCGTTGCCTCTGGGAATGATTTCTCCCAGATGGATCTCCAGGAAGAGATAGCAACCTTTTATCAGGGTCCGACAGCAAGAGAGGGAAACACAGGCAAAAAACACAGGGAGAAAGGCCTCGTGGCGCCATCAAAACAATCCACGGAAAATGCCTTTAATTTGTTCTCGGATATGCAAATGCTTCCGCCAAGCTGTTTTTTGCTGATCGGTCGTTTTGCTCCCTAAATCCCCAAGGATGGATAAAGGAGGGGAGGGCTTCGATTGTGTCTTTAATTGTGTTTTCTCACAGTCGGAATAGATGGCTCTGTGATTTGAATTCATTTAAACTACAGATCCCAGGCATCGCTGAGACTCCCGACTTGTGCAATTTCAATCTTGAGGTTGGGTTTTGTTTTTGTTTTTTTGGCTCAGAGCCTCTTGTTCCACTCCACCGCCCCACGCTGCTGCGACAATCTGTGGTCCCTGTCATCCAATATGTTTTGTCAGCTGCCGCAACAGCGGAACCCTTAAGTGTGTTCTGAAGATAACAGAAGCTGTGGGCTTCCTTGCGCTCCTGAGCTTGCTCATCGGACCAAAGGAGAGATGTGTCCCCAACCCTCTTGCTCCCCAACACCAGGTGCTTCCCAAAAATTCAAAATAGATATGTAAGGTAATAAGAACACCCTCCCCAGCAGCAAGTTATATTCAATGTAAACGGGATCCTTCCTTCTTTTCTTTCCTTCCTTCCTTCATTCCTTCCTTCCTTCCTTCCTTCCTTCCTTCCTTCCTTCCTTCCTTCCTTCCTTCC